AATGCATGGAAATGCTGACTAATAAGTGCTCTAATAACTTCTGCACCGATTGTTCTGAAATAGTCCCAGATGTTGATTCATTAGGGTTGACTGAGGAACTGGAAAGGGCAGGTTTAAGCCGGCCGCTCGACCACTTTTCCGATCAGGCAGGTGTGTCTAGGGCAGTCATCAATACATTAATAAGCGATCAAACTGTACCTCATGATTCTAATTGGCTTCCTACTTATAATGTTCTTGAGATCCAGGATATGCAAAAGAATGATCCTGGAATTGGTGTCATTTATAAAAGTCTTGTAGAATCTGGAGTTCGACCAGATAAATCGAAAGTGAAATCTTTTCAACACGAAGCTCGACTGCTTTGGTCTCAATGGGATGATTTAGTAATGAGGTCGAATATATTGTATCGAAAAGCTGTTAATGATCTTGATGAAGAATTTTTACAACTCTTTGCTCCTCGGGAGATCCGGGATAATCTTTTTACGGAATTACATGTTAACAAAATTGCAGGTCATTTTGGTCGGGATAGAACCCTTCATACCATTAAACGTAGATTTTACTGGCCTGGGATGACAGCTTCAATTAAAAGATAGTGCGAAACTTGTGATTTGTGTGCTCGATGTAAACCCGGTCCGGGAATAGGAAAGTCACCCCTTAAGCAATTTCAATATGGTGCGGCCATGCAGTGTATTGCCATTGACATCTTTGGTCCGTTACCTCTCACTGGTGATGGAAATGAGTATGTTATGGTCGTAGAAGACTATTATACCAAATGGGTGGAAGCTTTTGCCATAGTCAATCATACTGCTCTTACTGTCGCGGACAAATTGGTCACCGAGGTCATTTGTAGATTTGGATGCCCTGCACAAATCCATACTCACCAGGGTAGGGAGTTCGAGTCTGCTTTATTTACGGAAATATGTCGGAAACTGGACATTGACAAGACTCGTACTACTCCATACCATCCTCAGTCAGATGGCTTAGTTGAACGGTTCAATCGAACTTTGAAACAGATGCTCAAAATTGTCTGCAGTGAGCACCAGAGTAATTGGGAAGATTACCTTCCATATCTGTTGATGGCATATCGTGGGACAGTCCATAATTCCACTGGTTGCTCACCTAATTTACTGATGTTACGTCGAGAATTGTCTTGTCCGGTTGATTTAATGTTTGGGCTACCACCAGATTATAGTGAAGTTTGCACAATAGGATATTCAGAATGACTGCAATCTGCTATGAATGCTTCCTTTTCTTTCGTTTTTGATAATTTGGGGAGTGCAGCTAGAAGACAGAAAAAGGGTTATGATAAGGATTTAAGATGTAAATCGTTTGAAGTAGGAATGTGGGTGTGGCGTTGGTACCCTCCAAGTGCTAATACAAAATTATCTTTGGGATGGACTGGTCCGTACTTAGTTGTCAATAGGAAAAATGACTTGACTAATGTGGTACAGAAGTCTGAGATGAGCCCTCCAGTTTCGGTACATGTTAACCATTTAAAGAAATGTGTAGGTAATGAAACTCCCAGGAACTGGCTTGATCCTGGCGAAGAGTCTTCATATGATGAAAGTTTTGAGCTTAAATCCGAATCTGAGGATTCTTGCAGCAGTTTGGATGAGTCTGAAACCTGTGTGGTAACCAGAACTGGCAGACGTGTACGTAAAAAATTTCCCTTCTTTCCAAAAAATTAGTTGGGAAAATATGTAGGCTGTTACATATTATTAGGCTAGGTGTACTAATGATTTCTTACTTTCAGAAATGGATTTACAACTTAAAGTGGACCCTGCAGACTTAAGGGAATTTCAAAATTCTTTAAGGGAAGAGTTCCCTGATGATGGTCTACGATGTAGAGTTGTTGGGTGCATGACTACCGATGTAATAAATAAGCCGATTCATGAAACATTGGAGGACTTACCATACCAGATGTGTTGTCAAATTTACCTGCTGTATTTGCAACTGGAGTTTTAACAATAAACCTTAAGTAAAGCGGCATATGAAAACTCACCATGATAAGTTGGGGTGGTTTTTCCTCAGAGGAGGTGGTGAATACCAAATACATCGATCCCATTGATGTGTTGCCGCCTTTAAAATACGGTGCTGCGAAACCCAGACAGATGAACCAGTCTTCTGGTTTAGTTGCGTCTTCCTCCATGTCAAAAATGGAGGATGACTTCACCTTGACAGTGGGGGAAGATGGAAAAGTGATGTTACAGAAGCCTGGTGACGATACAACAACCGCACCAGGTGATGAGATCGACCAGATTGACTGGGATTTTGTATAATATAATTTTGTTTGTGATGTAAAATATTTTATGTATTATTGTTTTCGCCTACTTTTGTTGAGAGCGGGCTCGAATTTGGCAAGGGGGGAGTGTAGCGGATTTGCTTAAGTACGTCACTCATGTCAGTGATATTTACATGGTATTCCCTTGCTGGCTATTTTTAGACTTGGTCGAACTTGATTTACATGGCCGGGCTTTACCATTTAGACTGTGCATGGTATGTTACGTGGCAGAGCCTCGCATTCATAGTTGTGATGAATCCTTATCCAATGGGAGCCGGTGTTTGGCACGTGCATGTGCAAAATCGGAGTGTATAAAAGCTCTTCTGTAGCGTTTGTTAGTCGGTCAGTCGGGGCGTTGCACATGGTAAGTTATCTCCGAAAGGTGTATGGCAGTTTCTTGACTCCGCTCATGGACTTCTAGGAATAACTTGATGTGGACTGGCTATGCCTGAGTTGCGTGATAGGGAGTTCTAAGAACTCCGCTCTATTTCGCAACTCACGGAACCTTGTTTGGGTGTAGGGTTGGTTAGATGTAGGGTTTTGTTTTGTAGATCTTTTGTATGTGAATATGTTTATGTTGGTTTAATAATAAAACGTCTTGTGTAATCTTCTTGTCTTATTTCCTCACATTTCACAGAATTATGAACCTGGAACGTACGCAGGTGGGATTGAGTTGTGCGGGAACAGCGCCGCCCCTTTCCCTCCTGCTACACAGGAATACTAAAAATATTACTTTTAAGATAGGTGACCCTGTATACTATAAGAACTTTTACATAAGAATAAAGTAGAAGACAGATGGTCACCATACCATAGAATAGTTGAGCAAACCTCGTCCGTCTCATTCAAAATTAGAAATCAACTCACTGGCAGAGTGATTAAGGCTCACGCTGAGAACTTATGATTAGCTAATATTGATGAATGGGATATACCTAAAGATACCAATAAGATAAGAAAAACAAAATATGTTGAACCTCTTTCAGATTCTAGTTCCGAAGAGTATTCAGAAGATGACGAATTGCCTCTTAATGAACTAGCGAAGAAATACCGTAGGGTAAGAGAAAACTCGTCGAGTAAAAGTGATGTATCACTTATGGAAATGGCTCAAAGAATAAGAGTCGCAAACGAAAGCGCTTATGAAACCGATGATGGCAATCCTGATGATGCATCATCTTATGACATGTTGATTGACTAGGTTGGTTGAATGTTGATTGGGTTTGAAGAGAAAGGGCCCTTCTCTGATTACCATTACAATCAACTATTTTTCACCCGTGTCAATTACAATATTTTCAATATTTTCATCAAGAGCACGTAAACGAGGCTATCGTGCAAATGAAAGGATCAATCATGACATTCTAGCAAGCGTTACTTTCGCAGGTCAATCTTTTGATCCAAAGAAATAATAGAATATTTTTATTAGAATTTTTGTTTATAGATTTATTTCGTTACCTAATTGTGGTTTATGGTTTGAAGCATATATATGTTTTTTTTAATTACTTATAAAAACTTGTTCTTTGGTCCACTATTTTTCAGATGATGTCGTGTCACATACTGGTAATATTAGTTTTGATGACCGGGTTTCAAGTACGATAACGCGGAATGTGTTGTTTAGACCTCTGAACCAGGTATCCGCCAGTGGCTTTTTAACACGACAGAACCTTCCTACGAAGTAGAGAAGCTCGTAAATGGAGCAATAGGGTGTCAACTGATTTAGCGATCACTCCGAATAACGTTGCTGTTGTTGCACCACAACCAGCTGTTGCCACAACACCTCTATTAAGTGACAACCACCACCTCTCCTGAAACCTATGCCTGTAAAACTCCGCACATATGGAGAGCGATCAATTGCATATCAGGGTCCTATACTGTGGAATAAACTTCCAGTTGGGATACGTTCATGCCCCTCAGTTCTAAGTTTTAAAACATCTCTAAAAACTCATTTGTTTTTAAAGGCTTATCCTACTATAGATCTTAATCTTTAAATTATTTCAATGTATTTAAATGTGTTTTAAATCTATTGTTAAATTTATATATTATAATATTATTTCTTTGACTTAATATTTACATCAATAATTGAATATTCTAAATTTTTGCTATTTCAATATGGATTTTATATGTTAATCCTCGTTGATTTATCTATTGTACAGCGCCCCTGAACACTGTCATGGTGAAAGGAGCGCTTTATAAATGTTGTTAATAATAATAATACTGTATCCTAACATTCCTGACCCTAAAAACTATCTAAGCCGAGGACGCGGAGAAATGCTGGGTGAGGTCCTACGATTGGCACGGCACAGGAATTCTCTGCAAGACCGAGACCTACAGGATCGAGAACAAGAGACCAGTACATAGTATCTAACATGCCTTCTTTTTAAGAGTTTATTTGTAGGTTACCTAACTGGTATAATTTTAATGGTAGACAATAATTTTAATGGCGGACAATACATTTAATGGTGGATGATATATAAATCATAGTGGACAATATTACCAATATAGACTCTTGCAATCATGTCATGTTATATTTTAACTTTATCTGAATATTTTTTTGTAATGTGTATTTTGCATTTTTTGTTATTAATAGTTACAATCTTGAGAGTCGACAGGTGTGAAGATCAGTTAGGAATTTAAAACAAACGATACCCATTGGTACACCCATTTCATGACCCTCTACATAGGGAGGTCTCTAGAGCGAATATTAAACAGACTTCGCTGAAGGACTACCAGAATGGTAAACATCAGATCAATAATATGGTTTTCATATGGACAAAGTAAAGTGATGGACCTAGAAGAGGGTACAGTTTCACTCTTTGATCATCCTGATGAGATATTGGGATGGTGCACGTATAATGAACTAGAGTCCTGGATGAAAGTCCAGCCATTGAAACGTGGTGCCGATTTGAAGGTGGATGTTGAGGCTAGGTACACAGAAGGAGGTGTGAAAATAAAGCCTGCTAAGTACAAAGATCTCATGGACAAGGTGGTGAACACCGGGGTTCTTCAAGAGAAATAAATTGAGTTCTGTCATGGTAATTCTATGCCCTTAACGTCTCATTGCGCCACAATTTTGAAAAACTAGGTCAAGGTCATTAGACTCTAATTTTTCTTTGGTGCTTAGTCACACCTATGATGACCCTCTGACTGATTTTCAGAATTTCCCTTTATCTGGAAGGGTTCTTGGGCTTAGAGGGATATAGTCTACTGTTATTGTGCTATTGAAAGAAATTGGAATCCACTTTAGTGAAATACTTCTATATACATGTACATCAACTTTATAGAGCGATAATTTTATTTTCAAGATGGGAACGAAGAGATAGCGATATTTTTATTTTCAACGTGGGAACGAAGAGATATTTTTATTTTCAAGATGGGAACGAAGAGATAGCGATATTTTTATTTTCAAGATGGGAACGAAGAGATAGCGATAATTTATTTTCAAGATGGGAACGAAGAGATTGTCCCAGAAATGTTTCTCAGTATATTCAGGTGCGTGTTAATTTTTTAAACAGTAAACTGAATGATTTATATAATGTCAGTTGTCTGGAAGTTGGAACATTATTAAAATAATTTCGTCTTTATCTCAATTTGAATAAAATATAGTGAATACTGAGTGTAATTCTTATTTAGTTGTATTTTGGTGACTGCATCTTAAATGGAGTTAACTGTACCAACTGTATCAAAAGTTAAAAAGAAACAATTGATAGAAAAAGCTTATTCTCCATACTTTTCGGACAAGAGATACAATTTTGAATCAGAAATACTTCTGAGATTTGGAACAGATTGTAATCATTATATGGACCACTGAAGATGCTTCAAAGAGGCATTGTACAGCCTGATAACTGTGGAACGAGACTGTGATACCCATTGTAAGATATTTAACTGTGGAAAGTAACTGCGATAGCCATTGTAAGATGTTAACTAGATCACAACGAAAGAGGTGCCAATGTAAATACCGTTAATAGGTAAAAAATCCATTTACACAAGGAACTATTTTGTTGTAACGTAACTGCGATAGCCATTGTAAGATGTTAACTAGACCACAACGAAAGAGGTGCCAATGTAAATACCGTTAATAGGTAAAAAATCCATTTACACAAGGAACTATTTTGTTGTAACGTAACTGCGATAGCCATTGTAAGATGTTAACTAGACCACAACGAAAGAGGTGCCAATGTAAATACCGTTAATAGGTAAAAAATCCATTTACACAAGGAACTATTTTGTTGTAACGTAACTGTGATAGCCATAACACAGTAGATAGAATGTAGTATCGATATTACAGGGCCGTTTTTTATACCATTGCAAGATATTTAACAGAGGAAAGTGACTGTAATAGCCAATTTAAGGTGTTGACACGAGAGTGGTGCCAATGTAAATGATGTAAATAGGTAAAATACATTTACACAAGAAACTATTTTGTTGTAACGATAAGTTACAACACCGTAGATAGACTGTAGTATCAATATTACGGGGCCGGTTTTTAATAACAGGTACTGTCTTATACCAAGGCAAGATATTTAACAGAGGAAAGTGACTGTAATAGCCATTTTAAGGTGTTGACTAGACCACACCAAGGGTGGTGCCAATGTAAATGATGTTAATAGGCAAAAAATCAATTTACACAAGGAACTATTTTGTTGTAACTATAAGTTACAACACCGTAGAGAGAATGTAGTATCAATATTACACGGCCGGTTTAAATAACAGGTACTATCTTATACCGTGGCAAGATATTTAACAGGAAAGTGACTGCGTTAGCCATTGTAAGGTGTTGACAAGACCACACCGAGGGTGGTGCTAATATAAATGCTGTTAATAGGCAAGAACATCATTTATACAAGGAACTATTTTGTTGTACAAATGTGTTTACATGACATTTTAAATAGCAGGTACTATCTTGAACCTAGCAAGATATTTAACAGAGGAAAGTGACTGTAATAGCCATTTTAAGGTGTTGACACACCGAGAGTGGTGCTAATACAAATGCTGTAAATAGGCAAAATTCCATTTGCATAAGGAACTATTTTGTTGTAACAACACAGAAGATAGACTGTAATATCAATGTTACAGGGCCGGTATTATCTTGTACCATGGCAACATATATCACAGAGGAAAGTTAACTGTGATACACAATGTAAGGTGTATACCAGACCGGACTGACTGTGATGTCAATATACAAAGTCTGTGTTATAAGACAAAAAACAAATTATTAAGACAAGGAACTATTTTGTTACAGATACCCACTGTAAGGTGTGTAACAGAATATAGACTGGCTGTGATTTCAAAATGACAGGGCCGGTGTTTAAACAGGAACCATTCTTATTGTACGGATTCCCTCGTAATACATAGGGAAAAGTGACCAACACCCGCTATAAGCTGTATAAAAATTCGGATGGACTTTGAAGCCCATTGTAAAGTGAATTAAGTACAGGAACGACTGAGATGCCAATATAAAACAGAATTGACATACACATTTAGTTTTGCAATTTTAGAAGGTTTACCATATTTGTATAAACATTGAGTAACAGAGGAAGTGCTTCACACCGGAACAGCTGAAAATGGTATGTCCAAGTTATCCAATTGCGTTATTTCAAAAACAACTGAATAGATTATTGAGAGTATGAGAATGGAGGAAGAAGAGGTGTTTCCAACCCTAATGTGATAAATGTGTCTTTGGATGTTCCATATAAATTTCTCTCCATAGGACACAGTAAATAAAACTTAGACAAGGATCATCCCAATTTATTGACATTGGGAGATAAACACGGATAAGAAATATTGCTATGTTGAAAAAATATCTTGAGTTTGACTGGAGATTGTCTAAAAGGCGTAAGCAATAATCAATTGCCCTGGACACAAGACATACAACTTTATCTGAATCAATTTGGATATAATTGTAGACGATATGTTCACGAGGTGCTTATAACGTTTGCCGCAACCGACAAAGATTCAACGTGAACGGACTGACGAATCTGTGAAATTTACAACCTATTTAGAAATTTGAAAGAATAGCTGACCAAGCCTACCTTAGTGTATTCTCTAGTGTATAGTCTTTTCTTGTTATGAAAGTTTCAGCGGTAAAACAAAAGTTGACAAGACGAGTCGAACGATAACATTACCCAAGACATAAAGAACAGGTGAAGTCCTAACATGAATATATTTGTTGTACGAACCATTGAGATGTGGACAAACTGAAAAAAAAACAGCTGTTGGAAATATTGCCATCAAGTTACGGGAAGAAAGCTTCGCTTTTGAGGTAACAGAATGTGATTTTTCTAAACATAATATCAACACATCTGACAGTGAATAATAAAAAGGGAAATATGACAACAGGCCCAAAGCTGAATCGGAAAAAACTTTAAGACATGACTTCTTCATGTAAGGCAAGGAATTGATGGAATACAAAGTCAACAATCTGAAAACAGCAAATAAAGGGAAATTGAAGTTGCAAATTGCTAATCAAAATGTGTTGAATATAGCAGGATTTATTAACATGTCCTTTGCCTTAACCACCAGACCTTACATATTGGGAGCATGCTATCTTATACAGTATACCAGAGGAAAGTAACACTGTCTTAGCCATTGTAAGGTGTATACTGGACTAGAATTGTAATGTCAATATACAAAACCTGTTAATAGACTAAAACAGTATTTAGACAAGTAACTTTTTTGTTTTGTTATAAAGATACCTGCGTTTAGAACATAGAACATAGACGTTATACCAATGTCACAGGGCCTGATTTTAAATAAGAAAATATTTAGATACATTTTTGCAAGATAATATTAAACATAGGGAAGTGATTGTTATAGCCATTTTAATCTGTTTAGTTGACCAGCTTTTGATTACCATAGGGAGTGCTTATAACCCTGGTAATTCTGAACCAGCTGAAAATAGTATGTCCAAGTTATCCAATAACGTGAGTACAAAAATAACTGAATTAAATAATAGACTATGAGAATGAAGGTGGAAGAGGTGAAAACCAGTGAACCGTGCACTTTTCTCTTCTTTTTTCACATTAAACGGTAACCTTAGTGATAAGCTGTAACTAAGCAACCAAAGAACACTGCAGACACTTTCATATTTTGCTTCTGATTTTTCTTTTTTGCGTATTTTCATATATGCCTGATAATCTACTTTGATAAGCCTTGAATTTGGGATCAATTGAAGATCAATCTTAAAACGCCTGGACATTTTTGTGGTTACTTAAATTATAACCTGGCGACCGACTTTAAAAATATTTTATAACAGTTACGTCCCTTGATTTGAAATGTGATCAGTCAGCAATTATTGTAATATGTCGACCCCATGACATCATTATTAATTTGATCATTACACCACCAGGTTTGAAGTGTCTTTACATTATTTAATACATGTAGTTACTGCTTTTGATTATATGAATAGACATTTACACCCAATTTTGATTAGCGTATAGAACTCAACTCACTCCTATACTGAACTGCATATGGAATATTCGACTTTAAAAACGTTATTCGATGTATATGGACATGGACCCATTCGTTTAGCCTGAAAAACTAAACACATGAATAGTTTAAAGCGTATATGTTTCAACCTACTCTGGTTTGATGAGGCCCGATACGTATTTGTTTAACACCCAAATCGATCAGATTATGATAATCGACGTATTTGTTTTAACTCCAATTTAAATCGATTAGCTTAATCGACCCACCCCTACTTGCGGGGTGGTTTGATGGATTTGGTTTAGATTAGGCAAGATGGCGGCAGCGGAGAAAATTACATGCGAGAACAATGTTTCCTTATTACAGCGGTTTTCTAATTGACATATTTGTTTCAACTCTCAAATCTGATTTGATTAGGACATAATCATTGATTAAATAATCAAATCCGCATAGGTTGAAACAAATACGCTTTTAATATTATACGTTGCATTTCAACATGTAGCTGAATCAAATATGACTTGTTCTCCTCGCGATAAACTTCCTCTATTGGCCGACTGCTTAATGTTACGTGACGCGTCCAATGATTACAACATACAAAATAAATTATTCATATTTTGTCATGAGTTACTTCCCGTAATGTATGTATCGTGTATTGACCTAGTTATCAATATTCAGTTATTTCATACTTCTTTCCTCCTCGCAATATCCATTTACGCATGATCGACTGAATTAACTGATAGAATAAGCTAAATGTGTCTCTTAAAGTATTAATATTGGGCTTAAAAAATGTTACAATAACGATATACTAAATGTAATTTTCTAATGAGTTACTTCCCTTAATGTGTGCATCCTAAATTGACCCAGTTCTCCATTTAACTAAAACAGACAGTGTGGAGTTTTGGCTGATAAGATCAATGAGTTTTATAATATGAGAATATGTGGACTGTCATCACTATTGAAAAGTAAATATTCCTTACAGGGGGTGAGGAACCTTGTACCCTCATTATCACGTTTTAATTTTAGAAACTTGTGACTTCAGAAGTTTTTCACAATATTTATTTTATACTTTTTTAAGACAAAACCAAAATTTCCCCAAAATATCTCTAATAAAACACTAAATTTTAATGATACCACACAGAACAGAAAATACACAATACAACAATTACATTATATATTTTTTAAAGATCATAAAAAACGTGAAGAGACATTACAGGAAAATATAAAAATTACTGCCCTTTTTCATAATTCAAGATAAGTGCAAAATATTACGATAAAAAAAATTTCAATTATCAGTTTTTTTTTTTTGACTTTGAAGGCACTTGTGTTCTTTTCCTCTGACCCTTTTGAGGTGTAATATGTCGTTTTACCTGTCTCTGCTTCAAAAATGACCTCGTCAACTGGCTTGAAGGCCTCCAACCCAAATCATATTCAATTTCCCCGGATGTAGTTCTTTTAAGACATGGTACAGACATAAAATCAGGAAGTGGGGCTGAATGACAACCTACTGTCTGAAGATATTCAATCTGTATTTAATCTACCCTGCACATGCCTCTTTCTTTCCATAGTTTTATTCCTTATTTCTACGAATGTTGCTGTTTCAGCATTCATCCCTGTCGGACAAATCAGATTCTTAAAGTCTGCAAAAACATCGGAGTTCAGAACAATACCCGAGGACAAGTCAATCAAAGAATTAAAAAAAAGATATGTATTCAATTATTTATCATGGGACTTTCCTTTTATTTTTGGAATACAAAAATTCATACATAAACCAAGTGCCACTTTTATTCCAATCACTCTTGATTTAAAAAATGTGTCCAATATTTGTAACAGTCATATTGTATATGTCATATTTCTTATGTGGCTTTTGACGAATGACATACACAGTGCTTTTAAAAGCTCCGTTATCATAACAAGGCCAATGTTTATCTAATGCAAATCAACTCATCTGAATTACCTGCGTTTAACATTGTTTCTTCTGCATTTAACCTATTCTTTTGTAATCTTGTAGCAGCGTCAATTCTTTTAAATTTTTATTACAGCCTTTCCTACTCCTCTCTCCTAACTCAATCCTACAAGACTTTCTTTTCCAAACGTTCTTGAAAAATGATCTCGTGTCCGATCCTAAGATACTGTACTCTACTCCCGCACTCCTATATGTATAATTTTGTCCGAATAGAGTCCGAATAAAGGTCAATCCCAGTAACTAAATTTAGAAAAATATAATAATTTGGAAAATGACTATTGGCCGCAAAGTGTATACTGGTAGATAATTAGAGGTGATTCTGATATATAAATTTACTAAGTTAATCCCTAACTGATATGCGAGAGCAAAGTACAGTTAACATGAGGTAGAAGAGAGGAGTTCATAAATCACAACATACACAATATATAATAATAATAAAAGTAAAACATAAATGCACTTTACTGCAGACAATTCCAAAAATTGTGTTGTAGTAGCGTTGATTCTTTTAAATTTTATTACAGCCTTTCCTACTTCATCTGGCATTTATATACGTTCCTTTTCGCCTGTGGGTTTCGTTTAAAATCACCGTTCTTGTTTTGGGCTTTTCCCAAACTAAGTCGTTCCAATTGGTCAGTTAAGGCTTTTTGTTTCCTTTCCATATCTTTAAATTTTTGTTCAGTTGTACTTACCGAGGAAGTGGTATCCATTGGTTCCTCGATATTTGGACCACGTCGCATCTGGATTGCTCTTGTGTTATGTTGCATAGTGGCAGCTTTATTTACCGCCTGGTCAAAAGTGGCGGGTGAATCCTTAAGTAACCCCTTAACAATAGTGTCTTCCTTTAATCTGTCGATAAAAACATCGATCAGCATCGATTGTGCCATTGGATCATCAGAGGAGAACGCTTCCCCTGCAAGGGACCTAATTCTGTCTGCGTAGCCTTGTAAGTCTCTGTCGAAGTTTGTTTAATTTTCTTAAGTTTTTAGGCAATATTTTTGACCTAAAAGGTCGCCTAACCTTTCCTTCAAAAACTTTTCTCAATTCTGCCCAGGAAACTGTAGGGTTTCCCTTCAAATACCTAGTGATAAATTCCCCTACAATGCCAGTTGACCGTTGGAGAACCAATGATCTCATCCGAGAGTCATCAACATCAACAAACATGTGAGCCTTTTCAAGCTTCTTTAACCATTCGTTAAAGGCTTTATACGTATCCCCACTTAAAAACTTCACTTGAGTGTTCAGCCCTTAGTTCTAATTTCAAATCTGAAAAATTATCCGCAATCGCCTGCGGAGTTAGAGTGCTACTGTTTTGTAAAGCTCGCAAAGAATCAGTATACCGTTTCTGCATCCCTTCTTGAAAATTATGAGCTTGCGCAGATAACTGCGCCCCTAACTCGTTTCTTTGATCTTGATTTCGTTTTTCCAATTTCATTTTATAAGAAGAAAGAGGTAACCTTATATAAAAAATAAACAAGAAAAATGTGACTCTGAAATAACCTTGCTTTTTTTTTTTCTTTTTTTTTTTTTTTTTTTTTTTTTGCCTCAAATTGGATAGATACTAAATTCAAATTAAAAAAAACTTACCCCAATCCTTTTGCTGGCTTCAACACTGTGATGATAAAGTAGTACATATATAAATATCCCGGACAAGACCCCAAAACGAATTTTTCTCTTACGTTTGATGTTGTTTTTTTTAATGATGTGTGTGCATCGTCTGCAACAATTAATGTCGATATATTATGTCATGAGAGACATCACATTAAACTGATTATCTTGCTATGGAATATTGTAGCGAGCCACTCTAACAGCGTGGTTACCCCGATGTACATTTTACATTTTTCTTCAAACCGATTTCACATCATTTATGACATCCAAGACCATGAGGTGCGTAGTAGTGTTGGGAATCGGTTGCAATTTCATAATCGATCATTGGTTTGGACAAACCAATCAACCATCGATTGTAATCGGTTGCCAGCTCCAGGCTTCTGCAGATGTCACTTCCAGAAACTTTAATACTTTACCATGCTTACCATTTGAATTTTGCAGGTACTTACCAGTTACCAAGTTACAAGACTTCAAGCTTTGATGAGAAAGTAATAAAATATGTTGATAAAACTGTCTGTGTTTGACTATTTATTGAACTTTATTTGTCTCAATATTTAACAAATTCTACTGCAACAGATTTCAACATGAAAAAAATTCACCAAAGAACTTAAAAACTTAGAAGTACTACTGTCACTTTTCTACCAGTAATATTGGACATTGTCCTTTGTTGGCTCCCCAGTCACATGGATATACGGGGGAATGACATGGAAGATGCGGCGGCTAAGGCTGCTTTGTCACTGCCTGTTTCCCCCTTTTCTTTGCCTTTCACCGATTTTAAATCGGTGATAAGGTCATTTATTCAACATCGATGGCAGCAAAGATTGGATGCTGCAGACACTAACAAGCTTCATGCCATTATGCCTCTCCTAGGAGACTGGCCCTCCTCCTATTGTGCCAAAAGGAGAAATGAAGTTGTTTTGGGTTTCGTCTTGGACATACACCCCTCACCAACTGTTATTTGCTCAAGCGAGAGCCTCAACCAGTCTGTGAGCACTGCCAGATCCGCCTGACAGTGAAAAACATTCTGATTGAGTGTAAGCATCTCAAACCGGTAAGATCACAGCACTACCGTACTGTTTCTTTATTTCAGCTTTTTGCGCAACCTTCTCTATATGATCCCTATATATGGGAAGTTACGCTGTTGTTGATAAGTGTGGTTGTCAGACCCGTTAGTTGGGTCGATAGTGATTCAAAAAATTCTTGACTACCCATTTTGTAATATGGCTGAAGTACAAAAAAACTGACAAAACCAAGAAAATGATACCAACAAAAAAAATACTTACGGAAAATTCACCCGTTCAAGATCCTGGTCACGGCACCAAAAGATGAACACCGTTGTGACTTTTCCAGTATGTTTAATATAAAACTATATCTTCGTTGGTCCTTTTATTCTGCTATAAAGCTTCACGTTGTGTATTATAAATCTAATATCAAGTATATTGGTATTATGCCTTCTAGCTTGAGGAGTCCTTTGGTTGCAGCAGAATCTAAACTCCCCGAAACTAGTTCCGTTTCGGAATATATACCCTGACCCGGGGTCACCCTCCTGTCCGTATCACCTGCTCAATTTAAGACCTATTATTGGTCAGTATTTCCAAACGCGCAATAAGAGCACAAGCGACTGCATACGTGTTGGCTGTATCATATAATTTCAACTATTTTGTTTTTATTGAATATTTACCCCCAGTGGCCCGGGGTTAAGAATAGGTCCACCGCCCCCCATTGCGTGTCGTAAGAGGCGACTGAATTGGGGCTCCTCGTTTGCCGTGAGGTGCGACCCGTGTCGGTTTTGAATGGACACCTGGTGGTTGAGGGTAACATACTCCCGAATACATCACTTTGGGCCAGGGGATTCCTAGACGGGTGGCCAGTGTGGCCCACACTAGTCAATCGGCTTGTCGTGTTGAGCCTATGAGTCGGTGGTCAGAACAGATTAAACTTTTTCTTGTAATAATTAATATCTTTTTTCTTTCAAATTATTTCACTGACTCAGAAGCAGCGGCTTGGGTCAATTAAGTAAAAAAATAAAAATAAAAGTTCGGAATTTATTTTCTCCACCCAGAAATTTTCTCTTTTTTTTGTCTAAGTATATCTCCCGATTACCCCTAGGGCGCCGGCGCTGGAGTCCGCGTAAAGCCCGCGCGGATGTCGTGGTCGGGGGTCTCGGGAGATGAATTCTTCTTTTTTCTCCATGGCTACACAAACAAAAAAAAACACAAACGAGCGTAAGCGCCGGTTAACCGAGGCTGAATTTACTGATTTGTCTAATTCAGACAATCATGGCCCCGGTTTCTTGTCATTGACAGTAGTGACCCTTAGAGGTCTTTATCATCCTTATCGCCATTTGCAATCGCAAAAGGATTGACAGGTCTTGCAAGTGAGCCCAAATCTACGAAAAAACTGCGTAACGGCTCCTTGTTAGTTGAATGTGCTCGCAGAATTCATTCTGAACTCTTGCTTAAATCGGTCACATTGGCAAACATACCGATAAAAGTTTCACCTCATTCCTCTCTGAACTCTTCCAAAGGGGTCATTCGACATCCAGACCTCAATTGATGTTCTGCTGAGGAAATGAATGAGGAGTTAAAAGATATTGGAGTCACGAACGTTGATAGAATATCCATCCGTCGTGACGGCCAATTAATTCCTACCAACACCTTTATTCTTTTATTCAACCGACCTGATTTACCATCTGAAATCAAAGTAGGCTACCTTAATATCAAAGTATCGCCGTATATACCAAATCCTCTCAGATGTTACAACTGTCAACGCTTCGGGCATGGAACTCGAACTTGTAAGAGTTCGATTCGATGTGCGCGTTGCGGTCAGTCTGGGCATGACAACAAGGATTGCACCGAAGCTCCTTGTTGTTGCAATTGCAATGGAAAGCATGTTGCCTTTTCCAAAGACTGTCCAAAGTGGCAAACTGAAAAAAAAAATTAATAAAATTAGAATTGAAAGCAAAATATCGTATCCCGAAGCGAGGAAGGTTGTAGAAGGTGCAACTCCATCTACTCCTTCCGGAAAGACTTTTGCTAATGTCGTTAAGGCTTCTACCAAATCGGTGGAATGCCAAACCGACATCACTTGGCTGACACGGTTACCAGTAGCGTCTCCGGCCCTATTACCAACTATTCCTAAGGCAACACCATCTACATCATCCGCTACTCAGGCTTCTCAGACTCAGAGTAGTCAGTAGCTGATGATAGTTTAAGTCTACCAGCTAAAGACGTTCAGCCAAAAGGGACTGGTAAGCAGTCCAGACAAAAGCATGCGAAAGTCTTTCTAAAAATGACAAGTCCTGCAAAAAAAAAATGGATCCTCCTCCAAAAAGGGAGGAAGAGATCTTTTGAAGTCTGCCATATCTGATAGTATAGATATGGAGGCTTCCGAGGTTTATGCGGAAGTTCTCAACCCCCCTTACCGCAAACCTCGTAGTCCAGTCAAACCACCCTGACAATGCATCAAAAAAATAATATAATACAATGGAATTGTCGAGGTTTAAGTCATAATCTGAATGAAGTTCAGCTATTAATGCAACAATACAATCCGTTGGCTATTTGTCTCCAAGAGACTTTCCTCAAGCCAACGGATTTGCGTTTAGTGCCATTTAAAATTTTGTTTCCTACCACCATTATGGCACTGGTGATGATAAGGTCTCGGGTGGTGTTTCTATTATTGTCAATAGGAATGTCGCCCAGTCCGAAATCACACTACATTCTCCTCTGCAGGTAATAGCCGTGCGAGTTACACTCCACGTGCCTATTACCATTTGTTCCATCTACTTACCACCTAGCTTATCATTGAACCTGAGAGAATTGGATGACCTTGTTGCCTAGCTTCCTTCTCCTTACATTTGGTTAGGAGATTTCAATGGTCACCATTCTTTCTGGGGTAGCTCCGATGATAATACCAGAGGAAAAATTAATAGCTGACTTCATTTATGACAATGATCTTTGCATCTTTAATGACGAATCGCCTACGTATTTCTGCTCAAAAAACCAAACTTTTTCTCATCTAGATCTGACAATTAGCTCTCCATCTTTGTTCCAAGATTTTTCTTGGAGTGACAAGACGATCTCTGCTACAGTGATCATTATCCTGTAATTCTACGGAATAATGGTCCTTCACCAGTAGACAGGCCACAAAGATGGAAAATCTCCAAAGCTAATTGGCCTCTCTTTGAGGCTCTTTGCATTTCTTCTTTTTCTCAAGATGATCTAGATGAGGCAGAAGACCCGATGGAATTATTTACCACTATCTTACAAGATGTATCGGG